TGGCGAACTCTACGCTGTCGTTGACATCCCATCCGTTGTCCGCGTAATCCGTGACCGAAATCCTCACAAACAGTGGCATTGATTTGGGGATCACTTCCCGCACCCGACGGGCCGTCTCTAAGCCGAATCGCATCCGGTTTTCCAGCGAACCGCCGTATCTGTCGGTGCGTTGATTACTGATAGGCGATAAGAATGTGCTCACCAAATAACCATGCGCAAAATGTAGATCAATTATCTAAATCCACAAAGTGTTAACTGGCAAATATGTTAACTTATTTTTTTGCATTTCATACCTCAAAGCCAGCGCTAACCGCTCGGAGCGCCGCCGACACAAACGCCTGTTGCAGTATTTCTATGTCCTCAAGTGTGGCCTCTTTGGGCACTTTATCCAAACCACCGCCAAATGGTATAGCACTGGGAGCTATAGTAGACCAACCATTTTCACAATCTGTCGCCAAGCTTTTAGAACTGTACGAAAGCACAGATGTACTAGCTTTGCGGCCAGCGTGCGCTAGTTCAATGCCCGGCACCGAACCTAACGATTTGATCAGGGTAGTAATCCTGCGCCAGCCCTCTACCTGCTCGTCATTCCAGATGCCGGTGTCAGCCGGTGTGATGAGGCCCCGGGGCTCCACTGCTGTAGACTCTACCATAACCAGCCCGACACCACCCAGGGCAAATTGGCCATAGTGGGCCACGTGAAAATCATTAGGTATACCGTCCACCGCTTGCCACGTGACCATTGGTGACACACCGATACGGTTTTTGAGTGTTACCCCTTTTATTGTTAGGGGTGCAAACAGTAACGACTGTTGCTTATTATCATGAGTTTGTATGTTATTTCTAATCATACTAGCGTTAATTATGAAATATAAAAATATAATTAAACACGGTTTATTAGAGGTAATATATACATATTGTTGGTATTGTAGTGTTTTGTGAGTAAATTATTTAAACCATATGGTTTTATTACGTAATTGATATAATAAAATTAATTAGCTACTAGGATAGAGCCCATCATACCTATAAGTGCTGTAGTGTGTATAGTGTTGGTCAGAGTCCTGTCAATACAATGGATTTAAATTGTTTTTGCTTTAAATATATCAGACTTTTAAACATCAGAGCTCTTAAGCTTTCATTAACTTATAAACTTCATCATTTTGTCTAATAAATCCTATATATTAAGTTAAACCGGTTAAATCCATTGTATTGACAGGACTCTGACCAACACTACTCACTACAGCAGTTGATTATTTTATATAATTTAATTAAATATTCATCATGTAATTGTTTTTGGAGTCCCACCTCACACCCGCGCAGACACACGTCTGGCACTCCAGATATGAAACATATTATTTTGTGTTTATATGTTGAAAATTACAGGTAATTATAAATTTGCGAGAACTGTTTTAAATACAACATTTTTGGTTTTATTAATCTCGTTGTAAGTTTTATTGTTAAAAATTTTAATATTTTTAAATGATGACACTCTGGACAGAGCGACATATAGTTGTCCGTGTGAAAACA